CCGTTGGGTTGTGGTGCTGGAGTAGTATCGAACATACCATTACTACCAAGAAAACAAACAGGTCTGTCTTGGAGGTGAAACCAGGTTTCTCCTTAGAGGCAAGGATTTTGAAATTCCATGTCACATACTTTGGGCATGTTGCCAAGAGGCCCAGGCCTTGGAGATGGATATCACACTTAGAAGGGTGGAGGTACAACCAAGAAGAGGAAGATCCTGGATGAGATGGATTGACACAGTAACGGGGGTTATGGAGGCAGGTATGTCAGAGATGGTGAGATTGGCTCAGGATAGGGCAGGATTCAGAGCTATTATTCACAAAGTTGATATGAGTCATAGCCAACTTGACTGCTTGTAACAACAACAACTTTAAATAAACATCAAAAGAGTGTGGTTATTTAAATGATGGTCCAAACGGTCTCTTTTTTTACCATAAAACATCTAGAAAGCATGTACAACTCCTTCTTCATTTCTCTAAGCAAATTTGTTACCTCCCCATCTCAAACGATTTTTTTTTCCACTGTGGTGAAAACATAGCTAAAACACATAAGCACAAGATTTGAATTCACCAGATGCTCATTGGAAGAAGGATGGGTAATCTCTCATGTGATTTGCTGCCTCTGAAAACCCACTAGAAGGTCTGCTATGGGTCGGTTCTGACTTGACAGCTCACAACAATAACAAAATACATACAGTCAACAATTTCTACATGCACAATTCAGTGACATCAACTTACATGCTTCATGTTGTGCACACTTCTCCTTATCCTTTCCCACATTATTCCACCACTGTTAACATGACGTTAGCATCAATGTCCCTTAAGCAAAACCCACCCCTTTGCACCTTTGTCCTCTTATTCTTATAACCATTAATAATGTCTTTATTTCTATATATTTGCTTCTTTTCCATAAATGAGATCACATAGCATTGGTCCTTTTGTTACTGACTTGTTTCATACAGCAGGATGAACCTCAATGACTGTTGCTCAGAAAGAGGAATTTCCTTACTCTCTTTTCTGGGGTCTGATCATGGTCTGGATCCTAGTCACACTTGCTTGAAATAATGCACTGACTCCTGTGTAAAAGATGGTTCCCTCTCTGAACACTTTCAATTCAGAAAGGTCCATATGCTGCTGCTGTTAGTTGCAATTCAGTTGCCTGTGACTCATGATGACCTATGTACGTCAAAATGTTGGCCAGTTCTGTGTTATCTTCATGATCATTGGTTTGTTTGAGTCTTCTGTGTGTCAATCCATCTTGCCTTAACTACCTAATATCTAGGAAAGAGATGCTACAGGTGGATGGTTTTAATAAACAGAAATGTACTTTGATTTTAGAAGGCTAGAAGTTCAAATTCAGATACAAACACTGGGTAAAGGCCTCTGTCAAATGTGGACCAAAGTCTTTGTTTCCTTCATTATCTGTGGGCTCAGTGTTTCCTGAAAAACCTCCATGTGTTCTGGCCGCCTTCAGGGTCAACGTGGTCCAGCATGGAGGGAACTAGGTCCAAGCTGACTAATTGCACTCTCGGTGATTATTTCCTGGTACTATTAAAGTCTTCCTCTGGGCTCACTTTCCATCACCTTTTTTAGTTAAGATAAAGTAAAAGGTATTACCACATGCTAGGGAGAATCTCCTTGAATCTTTTTAGAGTTGGGATAAGATTAATGAGTGTTGCATTTCATCACCCTTAATCCTCCTACAACTGTGATCATTAAGTATCTTCCACAGTATGTCATTAAAGACATGTATATTGTGGAGACACAACCCAATCCAAGACAAGTCCTGTTGGCATTCTCTTGTTTTCCCTGACCACCAACCATGAGATCTATGGTGTCTTTTTATTATCTTCCAAAAGTAGATTTCCCCAAATCATGATTCTGCTCTGAACCTAAGCAAGTCAGAGAAGCCTTGATGATTTTCCATAACTACTGCCTCCAAAAGACTCCTTCTATCTCCAAGGATGTTCTAACCTATCTCATACTTGTTCTTCCCCCTCTTCCCCAAGTGGTATTTTAGCATGGTGCATCATAGAAAATTGATGGATAATTTCTTTTTTAACAAAGTTTTTTATTTTAATTGTGATTTTAACAGAAGTTTACTCGTTTTTTCTGTACACTCTTTCTTCTCTTTCTTAGCCTCAAACATTCTTCCCCAAAACAGCCCATTTAGATCATACCCCATCTGGCTTCAGATTCACCATCTGAAGCTTCTCCATCACATTAATCTTTAAGGATATGGTGGTATTTGGGGTTTGATAATCACTTACACTACTATTTTTACTATATAATGACCTAAAGTAGTTTTATCATCCACACTCTGCTGTTCTGGCTCTCCTGCTACTCTGAGCTCACAGAGGGTACTCAACAATTACTGAAAGATGCTTAGATCTTTTCTCTGATTAGCCTCTTCTTATATTAATCATATTAAAATGTATGCATTGAGGCCTTGCATGCCAATTTGAAGCTTATTGTCAGACATACTTCACCAAGTTAGTTACAATAGACAAAGAGGAACAAGAAAGAAAGGTATTTAAAGTCAGTTTTAACAAGTCAGGATCTGTAGGCATAATTAACTCATTGTCATGGAGTCAGCATTAACTCATAGCTGACCTAACTCATAGCTGACCTTCCAGCATGTTTTCAGAGGCTGTAAATCATATAGAAGGAGCCTGTCCATCCTTCTCCTGGGAAGCAGCTGGTTTCAACCACCTGGCTTTGGGTTGGCAAGGCAACTCCCTATCCACTAGGCCAATAGAGCTCCCTCTCTGAGCATAAAATCAGGAAAACTCCATATTAACAAACATCTTGCCCTGACTTGTGTTCAACAGACAGAACAAGTTGTGCATCTACAAAATCCCATTTGATGTGCACATGAAAATAATCTGCTTGTCAAAACAACTATGAGCTATCATCTCACCCCAGTAAGAACAGCACAATTTAACAGAACAGCAAGCAACTGGGAGGTTGTGGAGAAACTGGAATCCTTATTCACTGTTGGTGGGAGTGTAAAATGGTATAACCACTGTGTAAGGCAGTATGGCGCTTTCTCAAAAAGTTGCACTTTGGCCCAGCAATTCCACTATTGGGAATATACACCAAAGAGACCATAACTGGCATCCAAGCAGATTTATGCATGCTCATATTTATCACAGCTTTGTTCACAATAGCAAGGAGTTGGAAACAAGCTAAGTGCCCATCAACAAACGAATGGATAGAGAAGCTGTGGTATATTCACACAATGGAATACTACGCTGCATTGAAAAACAAGGAACTCATGCAGTATTCTTCAAAATGGGTGACCCTGGAGGACATTATGCTGAGTGAAATATCTCAGTCACAAAAGGACAAATACTGCATGGTGCCACTGCTGTAAAACAGGACTGACATCGAGGTTGGGGGAAGACTGAGAAAGATGGGTTCAAGAATATATACTGCATTGAAACAGATGAGGGAGAAAACTGTTTAAAAGGGATATGTGAGTAGGTATTCTTGTCATGATGGAAGTCCAGAGCAAAGGCTACATAGTGGAGTGGACCTGGGGTAAGAGATTGTAAAACAATTAAAGAATTTTTCTTTTACTTTTCCAAGAGGGGAGTGTACTTGGGGTGGGGGGGGGAGGATTGGGGAGGAAGAAAAGTGCAACAATGAATGAATGGAAATCCAAAGTCTCTGTAAATTTTCATTGAAATTAATAATTTTAAAAATTAAGAAAAAAATAATCTGCTTGTGACTCAGGTGAAAGTTTACATGGAAAATTACTTTTCTACTTAATGGTTCATATACAAGTTGTTTGGTGACATTGGTTGCAATTCCAGCAATGTCCTGGGAGAAAACATACTCTTCCTATTTCCTCCTCATTCCCTGCACCTTGTGGCCTGTAATGTCCCTCCTTGTCTTCTCGTCTTTAGTTCTGGGCAAAAGTTGCCACTGCAGTCTCCTACAGCTGATTGTTCTTGGGAGCACATTCTTCATGGTGGTGTTCGTTTCACTGCCTCATCTATTACTTAGCTAACAAGTGGCGTCCAAAAGTGTCTTCAATTTCAAATTAGAAGGTTATCTCAGGGAAAGTAGTCTCAGGGGTTCATTTAATCTTTTTTTGTACCAATCTGATTTTTAAAAAATTTAATTTTAATTTTGTTCTACATGTTTTACCCATTCTAATCAAAACCGTCTATAGCAGTCTTGGAGTGGTTGTAGTGATAGCTGGGCACTATTTAGTTCTTCTGGTTTCAGAGGAGGCTGTAGGTCATAATGACCATTAATTAGTCTTTGGGACTAGTTGCTTCTTTGAATCTTTATTTTTATTCATTCTCTTTTTGCTCCAATTGGAAAGAGAGCAATAGTTACTTCGTAGATGGTCATTAACAAGTTTTTAAGACCTCCGACACTACGACTAAGACATAGAATATTATATTTATCTGTGTTTTGACTTAGATGTCCTCAAGTCCAGTGGTTCAGTCTTAAGGTTTAAGTAGTTTCTGTAACCATTCCCCTTGTGTGCTCTAATCTACATATGAGAATACATATAATATTTGTATAGTGCACACAGTTTTAAAATTATACTAGTTTATTTACAAAATTCAAATACATTGTTTTCCAGAACAGGTTCTTCTAATTTTCTTCCTCTCCTCACCCCCAATCTATCACTATATCACTTTAAATCAACAGTAGAAATAATTGTGTAGTTAGTTTGGCTCTTCAGCTAGTAGTGAGTTACCTGAGGTTGAGACTCTTAAAGTAGTTCTAATTTTCTCCTACTATATGCTTGGGTAAAAGCCAGGGTTTTTTTAAATACAATTATTTTATCAGATTTTTAAGTATACAACTTATTCTACTAAACACTGGTGAACTGCATTCATGTGAAATGGTAAACTGCATGGTACATGAATTATCTCTCTACCAAGCTATTTAAAACATTTCAGTGGAATTGTCAGTGTATTTGTATTTCCCTGAAAGCCAGAATGGGATGCAGTCAATGCTGAAGGTTTAAAATAATACTCACAGGATGAGCCACAATGCACTGCTTTACATGAGTCAAACCAGCAAACAACTTGGAAGGCAAGAGGCAAGAACTTGAGCTGCTTAAGACAACTTTATCATCAACAATGCGATCCAACTGGGCAAAAATCTTCTTTTTCAATTCTAGGTCTTCTGGAACACATTCCTAAAAAAGACACAGTTAAATTACTTCCTCAGTCAGGCGCCAAGCAAAGCATTTCAGATTTGATTCACTTCTAAAAGGAACAAATTTTTAAAATTCCCTGAAAAATTAAACAGCTACAAAAACTTGCCAAAAATATGACAAAATTGTGATAACTATGTAATCTGGATGATGAGCGCATGGGAGTCAACTGTACTTTCTACTTACGTGTCGGTTTGAAAATTCTCAAAGTAAAAATGCTTGCCAACTATATGGGGGTGGATTTAACAAGCAGAATGCATAATAGCACCGCAGGCGAAGTGCTACAAACATCAATAATTAACATAACCATTTATTCTTTCTATCTGTTCTGACCATCAGATCAACTTATCTCCAAGGGAAAATCTTATCTCTATGAAATGAGCAAACATTTACATCCATAATTCCCACAAGGCTTCTTAGGAGTCCGTTTCTAATTGGGAGTCCTTTTGAAAAAGACCTTTGTTTCTAAACATCTAATGTTACATTAAAAGGGATGGGGCATTAGGGGGAGGACACAGTGAAAAAACTTGGACTAAATACTGCAGATAACCACCTCTCTGCATCCTAATGACTTGCAAAGCTGGGGGTGGGAAGGAAAAGCCATTAACCAAACTCCTGATCTCCCATAGGTGAGGCATTTTGCTGGGAACCTGAAGGTCTGTGCTGCTGTGGTGGAACGGGAAAAGGTGAAGGACACTTGAGCCACTCTAATACTCTGAAAATCCTAGAGGTGTCTTCTCACTCCTGCTACCTACACCTCTGAGAAACTATAGTAGAGGTCACTCCAGCCCAATATGGGTCCTTGGTTTCCCACTTACAACAAGCATTTACAAGTTAGCTGCACGGAAGCCCAATATTCACTGGTGCTTTCTGTACAATGATTTCCAATATGATCCAACAGCCACAGCATCAGTATCAATTGGGGATATATGCTTAAAAATGTAAATTCTCGGGTTCCTGTTTCAGACCAGTGGGATAAGAATCTCTGGAGGGCGGGCCCAAGCATCTGCATTTTTATTAGCATCCTGATATTAATGTTTGAGAAACATTGGTCTAAGAAGTTGCTCCAAAGTATAGGTGCTCAGTTCCCTGAGCATGGTGGCATGTTATATAATTACACAGCATATGAGGATATGCACAGATATGTCCTCAAGGATCCCCTTTCCATGATACTGTAGCCGGGACAGTGCCCCACCCTCTATCCCACAAGAAGAAATGAGAAGGATTTTAACACTGTTATACTTTCATGTTCTCTGTGATACTCTTTACTACATCTGGCCAATTTCACTGAAACATTGCTCAAATTTATAGACTATGTAAGTCAGTGAAAATATTATAAATACCAGTAGATGACCAGAAGTGTGTAAGAATGGATATTCAAAGTACTACTAGTACTTCGAATACTTTGAATTAGTACTAGTAATTGTATCAGAATCATCCTTCAAAAACAAATACTTTAAGCTTGATCTTATAATATCTGATGGTTTATAACATGAAAATCACTGGAATCAGCTGTACAAATATTATGACATGAACTCTACTTCTATAAAAATCTAAAAGATTTTTAAAAAAACCAAAACCTTTACTCAAAGGATAATGCATCAACATTGTGCTTATTACTTAAAACATATAATCAAGCCATTTAACATTTTATTAAGAACAAAAGGTCATATAAGTACCACATCTCAAAGACGGGGAGACGGAGTGCCGGGAGGGGGGCAGAAATTGAGTCATTTAAGAACTGTGAAGCCCATTGTGTTAAATCCCCTTATCAAAAAGAAAAGAAAAAGAGAAAGCTACTGTACCTGGCTAGTTATACTGAGTAATTCCTGGATCAGTTAAGTCTGCAAGCTGGGTTAAATTTAAATGAAGCCTTGTAGTAAAGCCAGAGACTAAGAATGATGCAGATACTGTTTAAGCTAATAAAAGAACCTTCTTGAATAGTCTCATTGTGAATCTGTCATGCAGATTCCCCTGAAATTCTAGGCCTTTCTTCAGATTGCCTGATATGAAAGAGGCAAGAAAACTTGAACCAGAGGAAACCCAAACCTACTACAATTATGTAAGGGTTTTTTAATGGCACATTTGCTTGAAGTTTTGTTGTTGCTGTTGTTGTAACTCAACTGTGTTCAATTTTCTGGGCTAGGGTTATAATGCCTCTTGAGTTAATTGCTTTGCTATGCATTAGGGAGTTGACACTCTTTGTCTTTAAAAAAATGTCTGTCTGAAACACTTAATCAGCACTTTAATCACCTCCAGTTGATTACTTAAACCTAAACAGACTGGAGGGAAAGGAAGGAAAGAATTGCAAACAATGAGAAAAGCAAGAAGCCTTCTGAAAAGTAGTTTTGCTTGCTCTAAACCACAGAATAGCGAGGTGAGAATCTACCCTTTGCATTCACAACTGAACAAAACTGGGAAAAGCCACTAAAAGGGAAGTCTGGGCAACAAGTCTATCACTTCAGAAGATAATTAATTGGTTTCATTTCATTTCATTTTGCCTGCATCTTTCAAAGCAATGATTTTTTGCTTATTGGGGATTTTGTTTTGAGGTGGACACAATGCATAATAAATTGTCTTATTCTTTGCAAGCACTATTATAAGCATGCTCAAATGTTCACAAAACAAAATTTGGGGGTGAAGTGTGTGCACATCCATACACATAAAAATCTCAATATTTACAGCTATTAATGGTACATTTAAAACATACATACACTAATTTCAAGCAGTATCAAATAGCAGAAAGTAAGTGAAAGACTTTCACTTTTCCTGTATTGCAATGTATATTTTGGTGGGGGATATAAAATCCAAAGAGGCATCTGGCCTAAAAGATTATGGCTGAACTAATATAATGCTAAGGTTTAGCATAATCTTTCACACCAAACTTTATCATTAAGGGAGCTGAAAACATTGATATTAAGCATCATATTATCTATAATTGACACTTCATCATTGTTCTTTGTACTAGATCTCCCTAAGAGAGCTTGTGCTCTGCACAAAGTATTTTAAACAATATGTTTATAGCCTTACCCTGGAAAAGGAAGTGTCATAGCCAGGCAAGCTTTCCTATCAGCCACAAGGGACAGCTTTAATAGGGCCAGTTCTTTTCCCCTTCCCTAGAGAAGGGAGTGCCACAGCCAGGTGACCAGCCATCCAGGACCACAAGAGACTCTTTCAGGTAGGAAAAGTTGTCGTTGTCGCCCCCCACCCCAGACCACTGACACTTTGGGTCTGCACGTTGGGTCTCTGTCACTTTCCTGGGCCTTTTACATGAGCATTATATCCCAGGCAGTACATCTGTGACTTTGCCTATCCCCGAGGGAACCTCCCTCACCCATCAAACAACAGGACAGGACAGAGAAGCGGGCCCACCACAGCTGGGCCAAGGGAAAGAACCCAGTTCCCTTCCCCTATGTGTTGTTTGCCTAAAAGTTGGCTTTTTTAGGCATTACAGTTAGCATTCAGCTACCTTAATTGAAGACATATGGTCTTGTAAATCATCAACAGCAAGCTGTAGGACTAGGACAAGATAACAAGTACTTTCTACACTGGGAATGAAGATTTGATACAAGCAAGACTTGTGGCAGCAAGATTTGAGGGAGACCCTGGTGACTGTGGCATTGCTGTGGAGAAACTGTAGCAAGGTATAAGCAAAGGAGCCCTGAGCCAAGGGCCACAGTTTAAGGTTTTTGCTGTTCTTGCTAAAATAATTAAGGAGAAGCTGACTTATAAATTCTCTGAGACAAACCTTGCTGGATGACTTGGATTTGACTGCTGAACTGAAACCAGAGCCTGGACTAATTGAGGAATTGTGCCTTGGAACTTGGGATAAAACCTGGATTTGTATTGGGTGATATTCTTTGCCTTTCTACTCTTGAATTTCCTTCCCTAATAAATTCATCCCATGGTTGGTACCATAACTGTGAGTCAGCAACAAATAAATTAATCTCTTGCTACTACTGTGGCTTTAGAGGCACCATGGGGCTGGGCTATGGGCTTTTTTATCTGTTTTCTGCTCCAGGGAAGTGAGGGGCTTTGCTATTCCCACTACCTCTGGCCCTTTCAGAGAGACGTTCATAGCCCTGTACCCTTATGTCTCATTTTTTCCAACTTACACACCCTCAAAGGAAAACCTGGTAAGAAGCTTGCCATGAGAAACTGGGAACAGATCTGCCCGTAGACAACCAGCAAGGAATACTGCCACTGGGAAACTCAATTGAAGGCAACACTTTAAGACTGCAACTTATGAATAGCATTCTAAAGATAAGGAACTGTCAACAACCTATATAGACACAACAGAATCTCCTCACACATACCAATAACTGTCTGTCAAGAAAGCAACAGGCACAGTGGAGTCGACTTGGAGCTAGGCAGGGATTGTATAACAATGAAAGAACTTTTTTTACTTTTCAAAGAGAAAAGTAAACTGGGAGGGAGGGAGGGAGGGGATAAAGAGGAAAATGTGCAACAATGAATGAATGGAAATCAAAGTTCTCTAGGAACTTTTATTAAAATCTCAATTAAAATAAAAAGGAAGTACTAAAAAAGACTTTAAAAAAAAAAAGAAAGAAAGAAGCAGGCAGCTTCAAACATTATGAAAACTCAAAACAAGCCTTCTGAAAAAGCAAATCAGACTGGAGACCTAACCAAAAGCAATCTACATGTTCAACAGAATTCCAGTACAAATACCAAGCTCATTTTTCAAAGAGATAAAAAAGGAAATTGGCAGGAGGAAATAGACCCTGAGTAAGCAAAGAATTTCTGAAAAACAAAAATGAAGTGTAAGGCACAGCACTCTCTGATCTCAAAATTTACCACATAGCCATAGTAACCAAAACAGAATGGCATTGGTACAATGATGGACACATAGACCAATGGAACAGAATCAAGAACCCTGACATTAGCCCATCTCCCCACAGTCAACTGACATTTGACAAGGAATAAAAAACTATTAAATGGGGAAATGGTAATCTCTTCAACAA